GCCCCATGGAATTCAACAAGACCTTGGTAACAAGGTGCTTCACATAATGTCCTTATTTCAGTAAGAAGTTGCTGCCTTTTCTCCTAATTGACATGAAGAAACACAATCATTAGACAACAAGGGATTACTTATCCCCATAACCAGCATTGTCATTGTACTTGCATTTTGGAGGTCACTATTTATGTGCAACTCCAGAACACAAACTGACCATGATTTTATTCCTCAGCATTCTTTCTTCCATGAAACAAAAGATTGAATTTTGACAGACAAATATCCAGTAAATACTAAAGTAAATGCTTTACTGATGGTCATAAATGCAAATTTCCTGAGCAAACTCTCTGATGAGTAAAGATAACTTGAATGTTGTAAAAACAACATAGGGAAGTATAGCAAAGTGCCACAAAAATACCTTCTCAAAGATATTGATTTTCTTCAACGCTATAATTCTATGTGTTGGTATATGTATAGCTCTCTGCACAATACTGCTGGCACCACTACCAATTGCTCCAAATATTCTCATCTCATGGGAAGCACATCTATATGTTTTTTCACTGTGATCAGTTTCATCTATAGATCGAGATGTGCATTTTTGCAGTCCAAGCTCGTTGATATTGTACACCCCATATGATTTGCTCAATAAGTTAACAGTTCCACCATCTGATAACTAATTCATCAATTAGGACCAAAGAAAATTGAGTATTAGGAATATTCAATATAGAAATTTTATATATTATTATGTTATGCTTCTCAATGGCAAGTGAACATACATATATAGCAAGTAGACATAGAAAGAGACTTACTGTGTACGAATCACAAGGGTCCAAAGTAGAACCTGTCGAAAAGCCCTTCTCCGCATCAAATAAAGGTGCGAGTTTTTTCCTCAATTCCTCCAACCCAGCCATAGTTATGGCTTTATGGTTGTCTAAATTCAAATTTGAGTGTGTTTTGTAGAAGAATCAAACTCTGAAGCCTGATGAAATCAGTCAGCCCGTCCAGTATTAAAATTGAAAATCTAGGTGAGCAAACAGGGGGAAATAAAACAGAATTCAACCTGCAATTGAAAAAAATATGTATTTTATGTAATGAAATGCGAATTTTTTGTTGACTAAAATTAAGAAAACTGCGCTAGTTAAGGTCTTAAGGATCATGATTTCAAGCATGCTTCATACGCAAATGGAAACTGGCTGAGTTGCAAAACTAGTAGATAGCACTATCAAACAGACCGGAATGTCCATAAAGAAGCCAAATCAGGCCAGCCCCTTTTGTAAACAAGCTATCTATCAATCTATCTACTAACCTGCTGACGATTGAAGTAGGGCTTTTTCAATCAGATTTACCTCCCTGTATCACTTATGTGTTAGAGACGGTAGTGACGCCCATGCATGAAGAAATCAATGTCATTTAGCGCGATTTGCCGGAGTCTGGCCGGTGGTGGGCCGCGGCAAGACGAGTCGACGCAGGAGAGAGGGGGCGCACCGTCGGAGGGCGGGTGGCCGAACATGCGGGTACGCTCCGACTTCTTCTTTTTTGGATGAAATAGGCTCCTACTTCCTACCGAGAGTATTACTCATAATTACATTATTTTAAAAAATTTTCAAAACCATCGTACTAATATAATACTCCTCCGGTCCTTAATATAAGACCTATTTAACTAATTTGATTAGATTAAGGAAGTTAGGTAAGTTAGTTAATTATAAAAAAAGTGATACATTTTTCCTAAAATACCATAATCATCTTTCTTAATATCCCTCTCCCTCTTCTACTTGATTATGATTGAGGAAGTATTCATAGGGGTAATTTAGAGAAAACTAATAAATATGAGAAATGGGTCTTATATTTAGGACCAAAACCAACTCAAGAATTGGGTCCTATATTAAGGACCGGAGGAGTACTACCTCGGTTCTTAATATAAGACCTTGTTTGACTTTTATTTTGATCCTAAATATAAGACCCCAATCCATTTTGTCTTTCATATTTATACATTTTTTTCCAAAGTAACCCTTCTAATAATAAGAGTTCTAGTTAATACACTTGATTAGCAAGGATATTTTCGGAAAGACAACACATATCTAGGACAAATAACTTACTCAACTTACTTTCTTAATCTCCTCAAATTAGTCAACTGGTTCTTATAATTAGGACCGAAGGTAGTATTTTTTTAGCAACAAACTCTATAATGTTATTAATTGGAAAAAAAAAAACACAACCTTAAATTGTGCATTAATCTACTATTTTGTTATTATCTACTTTTCTATCTATATATGTTTATTTATTGCAATTGTGTCATCATTTAAAAAAAGTTGGCAATTATGATAAATAAATCCAATCCACGTCATTATTTGTGAATTTTTCACTTGAAAATCAATAATGTGACAATTAATTCTACCTAAAAATGCTAATGTATAATTTACTGTTGTATTTAAATTATTAATGTCTCAAAATAAAATATTCTAAAGGTAGTAATTATTTATTTTAAGCCTTAAAAATATTAAATTATAATTCTTACAGAAATTGTAACATAGTAATACCGATAAAACAAATTTGGAGTACACAAGTTATTATCTTTTTTGTTGACTTATTTGATACAGTTTAAAACTAAAAAGTTTTTTTTTTGCCACATCTTAAAAGTCAAAAGATTATCATGAAATAGTGAAAAAAAATAGAGTTAAAATGTGACTCACTTCAAAATTAAGGTATTGAACATACACTTTTTTCATGTAAGTCTGTTAGATGAATTTATATATGGGAAATATTTGGAAGAGAGGTGAAAAAATGCGATTGCATAATATTTCTATTTCATTTTTTGGAATAATAGTGTGTGTCACAATATATGCTTGCGTCGAGGATGCTCTAAAACCGAGGTAAGTTTCTATTAGACAAGTCTTAAAATGAAAATTTATCAGGTCGCATGTTATATGGGAAATATAGTAATTGCTCGGTGGTCATCTCCATGGAACTCAACTCGGGCCAGTAGTGAGTTTTTTTTCCACAAAAAAAAAAAAATACTCGGTTCTTAATATATGACCTAATTAATTAACTTGAGTAAATTAATTATGTTAGTTAAATTAGTTATTATAATATGTTATTTCTAAAACACCCTAAGTATCTTCGTTAATTCTTTCACTCCCTCTCTTACTTGATTATTATTATTGAGGAAATATCGATAGAGTTAATTTGAAAAAAAATTAAAAAACAAATAAAATAGGTCTTATATATAGAACTAATATCAACTCGTTAATTAAATTCTATATTATGAAGACGAGGAGTACATAATTTAAAGGGAAATGTTAATTATATATTTCACTTGAAGGAGGAAAATCAATGAATCATTGTAATCCTGACTAATGGGCTGGATAGGACTCATGCTTAGATTGGTTTTCGTGGGAAGTGGACACTAATAAAAAGTGCATCATAAGGAGAGGGTGGTGTGTCAGTTGTGTGATGTAATTCTCTCTGTATATTTCTACTCTCTCTCTTTTTAGGACCCTCCCTTCTTTTATGTTATTCTTTGGTCATTTCCGTTTGCTGAGTGATTTCTTTTTTATTCTAAATATAAAATTCATTTTGTAATATAAGTTATATTATAAAATAGGTTTTATATTTATGATAAAAAGAATATTTTTTTACAAGAAGATATATGAATAACATTTAGTGAGCTGGTTGAGTTTGTATTATAGCCATGACACAATTAATTAATGTTTGATTGTTTTGGTTTCACCTTGAAAACCATTAAAATCATAAACTGAACTACTTATTTCGATCAAAATCATGGTTACTTTTTGTACCAACAAAAAAAAAAACTTGGTTTCCTGCATTCATTAATTTTCAAAATAAGACAAACCAATTATGTTTATTAATGGATTCTTTATTCACAACATTTGCATCTTACACAATAACTTGGTGCCTTTCCTAATTGCCATTTTTGTTGGATGTAGAAAGTAAATTGTGGGGGGTGTCATATAAGTACCAATATAGAATATTTTCAATTTGGTATCCAAATAAGATCCTTGAGTTTGAATCCTACCTTATTTTAAAAAATCCTTGAGAGGCATTTGGATCGCAAAACCTCGGTACAGACTAATTGACTGCCTAAATACTTGATAATAGGATATAAAAAAGGCACTAGAATCAGGCGGCCCAAAGGGTTTTAAAAAGACAGAATTACAATAAGATCCCACGTAAGAAAAAAAAATTATAAAACAAGTCTAAGAGTTTGTTATTTTCCATTCTAAAACTTGTCATTATAAGCTGCTCAAGTTGTTATTAGACCTTTTAGTAGTTATTTCTCTTATATAGGACTTGATTGCAATTCTCCCTTTAAAAAAAACAAAAGAGTTCCCCTTTTTATTTTTCTTTTAATTATAAATGTTTGTTTTATGCAAGTGAAATTGCAAATAGCTGAATCAATTCGCCTTCTTATTTTTTTTGGCCAAAATTAAATATAATTTTTTAAAACTTTATTGTTTGTCAAAAGAAGAATATAAAGTTTACTTAATCACAACCAATCGGAGTACAAAGGAGTAGCCCCAAACAAAAGCACGGGAACACACAATCCAACAACCACACAATCCACTGTTTAGGTCCAATTAAAAGGAAAAAAACTAACAATCCCAGGGAACACGAGCAACCATGAAGCTTCCAAAATCCTAATATTAACATGAGGATGAGCCTTAATATTAATAATTTAAAAAATGTATAAACAAGATGCTTCGTATTAATATTAATATTATCTTGAAACATCAAATATTTAATTAGAATTTATTTGTTAGGAGCATTGTTCTTTTCATCAAACATCAAAGGCATATATGCCAACAATGGTTCACCTAGAGGCATCTGACGCTGAAGCGTGCTCTCCAAGTCAATCATTCCTTTCTCATCACCTTCCAATGCAGTTGGCCAAACATAATTCTCCCGTTATGGTTTGTGGCGTGTAAATTACACAACTAGATCATAAATTTTATAGTAATTGATATTTACTAGGCAGAATCAATATTGTTCTGTGTTGGTCAGGATTTTTTCCTCAGGGATATATTGTAGACAGAAATTTGAGCACAAAATTTGATTCTTACAGGGTATAAAATGTTCTGGCCTCAAATATGAGAAGAAAGGGGTTATTGACTATGAGCTGGGAAGAGTGTTCTAAGCCTATAGAGAGGCCTAAAATATATGATGTTATGTACAGAACAAATTTCACATACCAATTAGGATGATGATATTAGAAAGGACTAACTCTACGAGCCAATTGGATCATGCATTCTGGGACAAGGCGTCTCCTTGGAGGAGCTGCTTCATCTCTGGCACGTGCCTCTGCATCATCAGCATGGATATACCCCACTAAATCCCTAAACATGTCATCTTCACCCCCTCTCATTGGATCCTGAAAGCCAAATATATGCACTTCACATAAGTGGCTACTCAAACAAATATTCACACCAAATCATCCCTACCCAAAAACATACCAGTTTACTTCAGTTCCCTCATCTGCAGAAGTTCTTTGAGAATATATAACTAGGGAAAAAATAACTTTCGGTCCCTGACTTTTCTCTCAACAACCGATTCAATCTCTAAACTTTGACTCAGAACAACTTAGTCCTTGTAGTTTATTAAAGTGAAGGAATTATAGAAACTGATTCCAACTTAATGAACCATAGGAATTGAGTTGTTTTGAGTCAAGAACTCTGGGGACAGAGTTCTTCTGAGTTAAGAAATTATAGAGACTGAGGTGTTTTGAATCGAAGTTTAGGAACTGAATTGATAATTGAGGAAAAGTTTGGGGACCAAAAGTTATAATTTCCCTATAACATATTAGCTATTAGCTAATCTTATAATAAAAGCTCACAGAGAAGTGTCTGAAGTGGTGGTGCTCACTGACACAGTCACTATAGTACAGCAAGTATTTATTGCTTTCTTGCATCAAATTGTCTGCAAATTATGTGGCTCCCAAAAATTTCTCACCACTACAGTCACTTGATTTCAGAATGGTGTCTTGTGAGATTCACTTTCCTCCCTCGCATCTCAAATAATCCCAGAATGATGCCAATGAGGAACGTGAAATCTCACAAGACATGCTATGAAATCAGGTATCTTGGGAGACATATGAGAATAGTCAACTCAACGAGCATACATCACTGCTCCTTGAGACTAGAAGAAATTTCACTAACAACTAATAAGCCGAATTGCTCGAGATAATTTTGGCAAAAGCTTTAAAACGAGAAATGAATCAAGACCAAGTGCTTTGTCTTTAATAAATTCATAAACTATAGTGTTAATCAAACACATACATATAATAATAATAATATGGTCCAAGTTCGAGATAGTAAGAAGCTACATCTTGGCAAAGGAAGATACCATTCACTAAATCATAATTTCAGAAGTGTCAAGGTACGATATAAATGTTTCCAAGAACAAACACTAATTTGAGACCGAAGTTTGAACATAAATGACTTAGCCGTCAGTCGAAAGGCACAGAATTTGCAAGGCTGGCTAGAAAGAAAGCTTTGTAGTTTGTAGTCCCTTACCTGAAGAAACAAGTCGGTATGAGTTTTTCCTTCATATAAAACTGCTTCAGCTTTAACTCCAAGTCTTTGAAGAGTTTCGGCAAAGGATGTGCTGTACAAAGGAAGATGTCAATAGTCCACCATTAGAAAGACAAAGCAAAAAGAACACTTCAACCGGAACCCAAGGGTTCCAATGGATATTACACTGGAAATAGGGGAAACAGAAAAACCGGGAAAACCCTCCAGTATATGAACTTTGAATGGAACAAGGGCCACCTTTAAACACCCTCTTGTTGAATTTCAAGACCATGCAAAACCTCAAGGGCCAATCCTATAAATTATTTGCCGTCTTCGTCACCAAATAATTAAAAACTCGTTCAAGAAGGGGTCCAAACCTGGCATCTGATGGTATGGAATAATCCCCAGTACCATGAAAAAGAACTATAGGAGGTAGGAGAGAAGCAGCATTTGCAACGTTTGGCTCTTGGATCCTTAATTCAGGAGAAAACTGCCTCAGGGATTCCTCCCCTTCCATTATGCTGTAGGATAAATGCAAGAGTTTTGAAGCATGGCACAATGAAAACAAGAGAATAGTGTAATTTAATATTAAATAAGTTAAAATCTGTTAAGTATGTACCTTAGAAAGATGGAACGATAAAGACCTCTACTGTGGAAATAATCTACTAGGCTAAGCAAATTGTACCTGTTTCGATCAACAAGGAAAACAGCAAATTAAATATACAAGCTAAGCGTTAAAATAATAAGCATCTATGCAAATGCAAAACGCAATTATGTTATCAACTAAACAAAACTGCAGCAACATTGAGAAGCAATTTTAATAGCCTAACTAGAAGGAATAACATTAGCAGTTATGGGAGAAATTCATCGTATATTTATGTTACAATAAACATTTCCTTCGTTATTCTTCTTCTTATTGTTTTTTTTTTTTTTTTGCCAATCATTATAAACATTAGATCGGCGCTTACATGGCTAACCAGAAAAAGCACACTTCATTCAGTAGCATACATCAATGCATCATGGCCCCTAGGATTCCAGATTGCGTTTTATTTTTCTTCAGTCTTTGAAGGGGGGAAAAAACCTATTTTGAATCATCTCTCAACTAAAGTTGGGCAAGTGATTCATGGATCAATAACCACTTGTGCAGAATTGTCTATATCAAACTCAGCTAATGTACTGTTCAATGGATCTTTTGGAGCATGATGTCTAAGTTCTGACTGTCAGGTTATCACCTCAAAGTATAGATGCAAGTGCAACTCCAAATTTATTCATGTGTGGTTCTCTCAAAAGGCATAGTAATGATAAGCACAAGGAAAGTCAAAGTCAAGATTGAAAGGAGCTTTATGCAAGTTTTTACCCTCCAGATAAACCAAAATAAGCTTTGATCTGGGAGACGCTCCAAGTGCTACTCTCTCCTTCACCAGCCTCTTTGATTGCCTGCTCCACGAGAGCACAAGCAGCAATATGTGCGCCTGCTGACTGCCCCATTAGGAAAATCCTAAGCAAATCAAAACAAGGAATCATCAGTGATCGTAAAGAACACATCAAATCTCAGAGAAAGAATAAAAAAGAGCCCATAATGAATATCAATTTGGAGTTCAGCGATCGAATCTTAACTTGTTAGGATCACCTCCATATTCTGCAATGTTGTTGCATACAAATGAGATACCTTGAGAAGCATCCTCTATCATATCACTCATGGTTCCCTGAGGAAAATTTCTGCAAAAGTAGAAACGTGAGAAAAAAGTTGCGAGGGCAGAATGCATTAGGACATGCTTGAGAGATTGTGATTTTTGCAACTTACAAATTTTTTCCACAAAAGTATGATGATGTTTGCTAGTTTTATGCTTTATATATTAAATATTATGTATGTCTATATCGTCACCCCACCTATTGGGATAAGACTTGTTGTTGTGTGTCTATATTGTCACTAGAGATAGGATGATATAATCCTCAATCTTATGATTTGATCTTTTGTACCCCTCTACCAATCCTATGTGGGATCTCAATCTCAATCTCAATCCTATGTTGATCAACGAACAAGAAATACTGTTGCAGTTATGAAGGATAAGCAACATCACCTGTAATCTATGCATGCCACCATGATATCCCTCTCTGACAACTGTTGGCCTAAAAGAGATCCCCATGCTTTGTAACTGCACAAACATAAGTGCTTCAAAACTCATGAACTAAGCAGGCAGTACATTCATCTATCTGTCTACGACACAAGTTTCTTTAAATCAGTGGAATCTGATTGCACATGACAAAGGTAGTGGTGTTTACAGCACGATGAATTTGTAAAGGTTTTATATTGTCATGTTAAATGCACCAGTGTTGGAAGCAACTTCCGCTGCTCCACACTCCACAACACATTGAACACGTACTCATTACCATCAAGATGCAACGGCCATTAAAAGGCGTCATATTCATGATTTTGATGGAAGAGCATGAAATAATTCCATTTACAACCCCAAAGCAAACCTTTGGAATGAGAGATGCTACCATAACAAGACAAAAAAAATGACTTTACAATTCCACCCAAGCATCTGACACTGAGTAAAGGAAATGCTTCCTCTATCAGAAAACAAAATTGTCTTCTAACATGAATTTTCATTAACTTGCAAATTTAACTCAAGAGATGCACAACAAAACATCACATACCCAATAATCCAGGCTCCACCAGTAATAAAGGCAACAACTGGCTTTGGACCATCATTATTTTTGGGTAAATACAAGTCAAGTCTGCAAAAGAAAATAAACTATTAATACAAAACCAATGAAATTACACCATGTCAAGGAATTTTCAAATGCAGAGAAGAACATAAATAAATCTTGCCTATTCCGTGGTTTATCTCCATAGACTATACTTCTGCGTACATGTCTGGAGAAGAAATAGTAAAATCCAACTACAAAACAGAAACTAATGTTATCAAAAAGTGCGTTGATGAACAATTTCAATGCATTCAAGTCAGAAAGTGGTCATATAAGCATGGCGAAATGCCATTGATCACTGAAATCAGACCTTGAACAAAGCCTGGGAAAAGCAGCATTGAATAACAACCAAGAGCAAGAAATCTTGTAATCCATCTATAGCCTACCCTGAAGAAATAAATGTTCAGAAAAAATGTAAAACTCGAGTATGAGAAGATAGTCATGCAGAACAAACATCAGTTGATAGAGAATTACATTTTTTAGCCATCAGTAATAAATCTCACAATGTTATAAGTTGTATCTTTGAGCCGTTACATATCATTTATATTATCACGCGTAGTATCCATAGTTATGTTTCTCATCATGAGTTGTAAGGCCGGAAAACGCTAAAATATACAATATTTTTCATTAGACTTTCCCAGTATTGCTACCTTTCCCTACGTGGTAAATTCCTAGTGTTGGTGAAGGCAACCATGCATATTTAGAAAGTGGAGAGTAATCTAAAACATTATGACCAAAGAAGAATGACTACTTATAAATGGCTATAGAATATTTCCCAATTCATTTTTTTCCCCCCAACTTGTCCAAAGTTTCAAATCAAATATCTACATCCATCAAATTTAGTCTTCATCAGTCTATTCAACTGCTATCCTCTTGGGTTTGCTAAATGTATATAAGAGTTCAACCAATGGTATATCCTCGTTAAAAAAACAGTTTATGCCCGAATTCGGTCAATTGAACTGCATCAACAGAATTTAAAACTTATGAACTAAAAAGAAATAAGAGATAAGAAGCATGCACGTAAAATACTATAAATGCTTCAGACACCAACTGAAACAGTGACCCTACTTTTCTGCTCCAAACCAGCCATTTTTTGTTCCCCAGCTATAGCAAACAAGGAACATACAATCCAAAATTCTACTTATCGATGGCACATAAAAGATCTCCACATAGATTACGAGTTAACACTATGGATCAGTAGGTGTACAAATTCACAATAACAAACAAATGAACCAAGTGTTTATCTCGTAAAGCTCGCGATTTTTTTATATCAGCGGCATATATTATACGAATTACTAACGGCATCCCTGACAACACCACTCATTCACTTAAATAGTCAGACTTTTCGCCTCTGCACATGAACCCAATGTCCATAAAGGAACTAAGAAAACAAGGCAAGAAAAATGTACCCAAGATATCGTAACAACTTCAAACCCAGGCGAGTGACTAAAAAGGTCTCCGAAGCAACATGGCTAACATCCTGGCCCAACGAAGATCGGCGACTATCGCCGCTGGAGGAAGACGACAAGGAGTTCTCACTTGCGGAACGGCGACGCCGTTTCTGGTGAATGTTTGCATTACCGCCCATCGAATTACTGGAAGTAGAAGATAAGCTGGGAGAGCGGGAGAGAAGGGGCTTAATGGCTGCAACACTGTCGTCTTCAAATCGAGAAGAAACGAGGAGACTCGTAGATGGGTCATCATCCGCGGTTTTAATTAACATTGCGGCAGCGGAAGCAGACGAAGAGTACGAAGGTCGATTTGTGATGGGCAAGATCTGAGATGGCATTTTCTTTGATTAATCCGTCGAAACACAGAGAGAGAGAGAAAGAAGAAAAATTGGCAGCAAATCTGAGCTGTGTGTGTTGGGGTTTTCAGGATTCAAACGAAAACATATATCTTCTTTTTCGTGTGGATGGATTAACCGTGAGCCTCCTGTGAAGTAAAGATAAGGAGTGTTGACGATGGGTAAAAAGCAGAAAGAAGAGGATGAAAGAGGAAGATCAATCAAGTTCAACGGCAAAGGAAAAGATAGAAACGGAAAGGAAACTGAAAAATAAGGACGAAAAGAAGAAGAGATTTTGAAGGGAACAGGAAAGAGGGGCGAGAAGAACGTGCTTGCTTTGCTTTCGTGTTTGAAAGATGAAAGCTTGTAGCTATTGCTGGGCGAGGAACCATTAGGACTTTGCCAAGTGCAGTGTTCCAGTTGGGCTCTGCTCGGATTTGTTGGAACTGGTCGTATGCTTTCTTGTCTTTTCCTTCCCCTTTTCTTATTTATTAGTATTATTAAATTTTATTTATTAATTTAACATTGCACAAAACAAATGAAATAATATCATTCAAGTAGAAATGGACAAAATATTTCACCAAAAAAAAAAAGAAATGGACAAAATATACTAATTCTTGGGTCTTTCGTGATATAATAAATGTGATGAATCACGATACTTACCTAAAACATAAATTAATAAGATAACTCCGGCCACTATAATATTAATGTCATAGTTCATTTTAAATTTTGTGTAAATGAAATATGAAATTTTTGAGATTTAGTATTGGAAAATTTAAGATTGCCAAAAAAGTCCGATATTTTTTTATGTCAATATTTTTACCAAATTTTTTAATATCAAATAAGTCATTTCTTTATGTTTATTAAGTTATTTAATTTATATTCAGAATGGGAAAAAGGTGGGCTTATATAAAATTTTACAAAGAAGTAATACTATTTCTGAATGGTGTAGTTTTATCATAAACTTATTACCATATATTTATTATTCATTTAAATAGATATCACTTATTGTTGTTTTATCAAGACAACTTATTTTCTTTTTGAATAGAAAAAGGGTACTTTATTCCAATGGAAATAAACATTAGATGATGGATAGTAATTTACATTATCATCATCCTTTCTTCTTTTTTAATTTTGGCCGGAATTATCATCCTTTCTTCTTCTTCTTTTTTTTTTGGTACAAGAATTATCATCCTTTCATCATCTCCTCATACGCCAATGATCCCAAGCCTAGTGCCATGAAATTCATTTTTAAAACTAAAATCCCACTAACTACTTCAGGTAATAGCTTGCCCTTGCGTCCGGAGCTTTCACACACACAAACACACAACATGTTTTATTAAAGCAAAAGGATAAATACTATTGACAGAAGATTAGAAATGGGCTTGAACTTACTTCACTCCGGAGAAAATTTTCTTGTCGAGTTACAAGGACATTAGCTTTCCATATCTTTCAATGACCAAGTGTTTTTTTTTTCTTGTTATAAAAAAATGTAGGTAAATTAAGTCTTGAAAACTCGTCAGGACATGCCTTCATACTTAAAAGTATTTATAGAGGTACTTAGAAATTGCTCAACAATAAAATTTTCACATTAATAGTAAAATTTGAACTCACGACTTTATTAACTATGAGTAAACTTTTTACCAACTAGAGTTGGCATAGCCAAGCATTTTATTTTTATTTTTTTTGGTTGCCTAGAATATCCTCCTACCCGAACAGTAAAAAACTAATCTCTTATGGTATTGTCAGATACCGTAGCGAGTATCCTTCTCAACAGTATTTTTTTCATACATACCACCTCAATGATCAAATTCAAGACATGATGTTTAAGATGCCCAAAATCCTTCTACTTAGACCAACACTTGATGGCCATAGCCAAGCATTTTAGAATGCAAGGATTTTAGAACGTTGCTTACTCTGACGCGGCAGGCTTAGCCGTCATCACGCTGACGCCTTCTTTGGGCCAAAGGAGCCCAGCTATATTTACTAGAAGTTCAATTCAATTGGGCTCTGTACTGCGAATTCGGCCATGTGGAGAAGATGTGGGCCTCCAGCCTATTTTCGGTAAGGAGTTAACTGTTCCATTACTCAAGTAGGCCCTGTACCTTTTATATGGGCTGATTTAGACCCATTACCTTTCTGGAGCAACCTTTACATGGGCTTTGATTCAACTTAACAAGCAACTTTATGCTACAAAAATTTGTATTCTTAAAACATTTACACTTTTAAGTACATTCTAAATTGATATTACTTTTAATCTTTAATATAAAATATAATTAAAATTATATTTATTTTTAAATATAATATTTTAACCTATATTATCTCTCAGATTTATAATTTTATCCCAGTAAAGGTAAAAATTTCCATTAAGGGGTAGTTCAATGCATATGAATAAAGAAAATCATTTAGAAAGTCAATATACACATTTATTACAAAAAATTAATTATTTTAAAGGGGAAAAAAGAAAAAAAATAATGAGATGGTGAAGAATGTGTCTTAGAAATTAGGATAACTTGTTATCGTTAAAAAAAAAAAGAAGAAAGAAAGAAAGAGTGAATCGTTGAATAATATAGAGAACACTTGCTCCCTTGTATCACATGATTGTGTATAAATATAAAATATAAATTTAGTTTATTACAAACATTTAAGCAACCCATAAGGAAATGAAAGGGCATCATTATGGTGTTGTCTTCCCCAAACCAAGCCTATATATGACTTTGTCCCTTGAAAAAGTTGGTACCTCTTTTGAATCCTGCTTTTTAAAATCCACTTTCACTTAAAATACAAATTGTGGGCGATATGGAATTGCTTTGCACACAACATTATCATGTACATACTTAATTTAAAGGAAGTTAAGAACACAATCCAATTAAAGGAGTCAATTCAAAAAGGATAAGCTGAGGGTCAAACTTTGAAACCTATCATTGTCTCTCGCATTAACTTGCCAACACCTATATGGCCATCGTATCCCTAATTAAACTTTGGAGGATGCTGACAGCTTATTAAAATCAATCTTTTTCATTACTATGATATGATATATATATATATGAAATATTTATGAATGCAAAAAATATTTAGAGTAAAGAAAGATTAATTGCATAATATTTTCTTGTATTGTGGGAAGGAATTGATAGAGAACAAAAAGAACAACATTATTGAAAGAAATAAGCATGATAGGAGAGGAAAAAAAGACTTTAAAAAGGTACAAACAAGAGAAGAAGAGACAATGAATATTGTGAATTATGTTATGCTATTTTATTCATCAGAAAAAAAAGGTTTATATATGCATGAAAATAGCCTATTCTCCTATTCTAATAAATAAAAAAAAATTATAATAGTTAAAATAAATGAAATAATCATTATAGGAAATCCTATCAAATCAAATCCCAGAGCATAATTACCATGAACATTACTTAAGGGATCGACAAAGACAATATTAAAACGAAATCGTGCATGAAGGAATCTTTAGTGTTTTTTTTTCCATCCTTTTTTCATAAAAAATTTTATGTGGAATAGTGAATTGGATTCTAGGAGCTTATTATGTTAAGGCATCCCTTAAGACTTAAAAAACATTTATTGAAGCATTTACAGATTGTATCAATTACATCCTCGCATGAGGAGTAAGATTTGAACTCACATTTTTATTGTGGGATATTAGTTATTTTCTTATCAATTGGACCAACATGCATTGATAAGGATGCGAGGCATTCTTAGTTTTATTTAATAGAGAATTTGAAAAAGTGGGGAAATGAAGGATAATATTCACATGGATCTTAAGTGATTGACAAGATAAATACTTGAGTAACGCTTCATTGATCAACATAGAGAGATCAATTACCTTTTGACCTAGGTGCTTTAGATTTTAATGCACGTACAAGTGTATATAATCATAATGCATCTCCTTTTTTTTTTTTTGATAGGCACATGTATTCTCCTATTGGAGGGAATCTTGTTTGAAGCACTATTGAGCACTAGATATAGACACATCTTCCAACAGGAATTTAAACCTTAATTCATCACGTTGTAGAAAACTAACTCTTTCTACTAGACTTAATTATCGTTGGTTAATGCATCTTCCTTTAGTACCACTAGCTCTTTCAAGTGGTACAACTCCACCATAATCACATTATGTTAGTTTTATTTAAATTATCATAATAATTATAATTGAAATTGATAAAATTCGCACCATGCAAAATAGTAGTTGACTCCTCATGGTAAGAAACTGCTGCAAATTTCATGAGGAAATTGATGTCCTTTGGCAGAATTTATCTTATCGTAATAATAAATGGGCTTAATAAGCTTAATCAAATGGACGAAATATTATTTTCTACCTAAAGGCCAGCAAAACATGATTTATCATATCATCAATCTGAAAAATCAAATATACAGTTGAAAAATTAAAGAAGAAATAATACGTATTTACTCCCTGGATTATTTATCTCTTCTCACAACATTGCTACGTCAATTAGACGATAATAATTTGAGAATTATGAACTTATAATTGATAGGTCCTTAATTATAAATTTATGATGACCTTTATGTTCATAATTGAATCTGCTTCTCAAATCAGACCAGTCAAGGTTACTGTTTCTATCAAAAAGCAACTTAACACTTTCTCATGAAAGGACATGTAAATGCAAAAGTTCGAGTACGTGAAAGTATAAATAATTAAACCTCCTTCGGATCCAACAGATCATACTTTACTTTTTTTAATTAATAGTAATGATAAAGTCATTATGTTATTTTAATTGATGATAATTAACGTTCGACATTGATCGAGAGAAATGAGATGAGATATCTTTATAAATTGCAGTCAAAAAGATGGGGGTTTTAAAAAGGTATAATATAATTACAAAACAACAACCAGAAAAACTAATCAATCGAGTTCCAGAAATTAGCTTTTCTCAAGAAAATTTTAAGGAAGCAATAAGTGATTCAACCGGCAAAAATATGTTGTACAATTCATCAATCATGCTTGAGACACTCTTTCTTGGAAGGAAATAATGTTTCTTTTATTGAACCAAAACAAAATCACTAAATTGATTGATATATATATATATATATTTATATAATTTTGTAAAGATTATAACTATTCATAAATCATATATAGGATGACCCATCCTTCAAATGCTGTATGATGCATGAAAAGACACGTCTAATTCTATAAGAAAATACACACAAGAAGCATAGTATACTAACATAAAATTGAAATAAGAATACATATACATATACATATATATATATATATAAAGAGTTTGATTTGTAAGCAACAATATATATATCAACTGTAGTTGGATCGTGTAGAAGGCTATGTTATCATCACGACAAGTTTAATTTGTCTCATGAGTCACACATCGAAGCTTCAGAAGAGAAGTA